TCTCACTGAGTTTCTACATTGTTGTGGTTTCCAAACCTCCATGGCTGCTGTGACAAAAATGTAGTCTTAGTCATGACTGGCAGCCTGTGCTAAATAACCATCTAACTAGTATGGACTGGAGAAGTAAATACAGGTACTCCTCACTTAACGTCATCCCAGTTAAGGTTGTTTCATTATTACATCGCTGATCTATTAGAGAACATACTTGTTTAAAGTCGTGCAATGTTCGGTTACAACTCTGTTTGGCCACTGCCTGCTAGTAGGTAACTCTTGTGATGTAATCAGATTTGCTTAACATCATTTTGCTTAAAGTTGCAATTTTCAAGAACATAACTATGATGTTAAGTGAGGAATAGTTGTACAGCTCTTCTAAATTAACTAAAGAAGATACTGTTACATCCATCTTAAGAGTTTGCTGAGCTCTATGGTCAGTACAACAAAGTATTCACCTTCATAAGCCAATAAAAGTAGTAGATAGATGTCACTGATAACTGTACCCATGTTTAAAAATACAGATCAGAAGCTTTTTAAAAAACAATCAACCATGTAGTCAAAGAGCTAAAACACTTTATTCTAATCTCTTGGTATATGCTTTGTCAAAAAAAGTCATTATACATCCAGATAATCTAATACAATTTACTTACAAAATACGCTTTGTATAAACTGTAAAACCCTTTTATTTTGATTAGATAGATCATTCCTTTATCTTGCATATGCTACACTCTATTACTGTCTTGATATCCATTCATGTTGATACACTACTTTTCCTTGCCTCTCCTAGAAAATCATATGCTACCTCTGAAATATCAAAAGCTTTGTGAACAGTTTCTGAGGACAGCAGAGAATAGAGAGCACCATCATTTTCTCGGGTCTGCTTCAAGAAGTCAGCAATCACTTTCCAGCGAGAGGCTTCTGACTCTTCATCTGCCCATTTATGCTTTGGGAGGAAAGTAGACTGGAGAAGAGGGAAGACAGAGTCATGGTACACCAGGGTAAATACGGTCTTCAAAAATTCTCGATCTCTCTAGAAATAAGAATATAAAAGCATTCAGTACTCCATGCTTGAAGGCATTTCTACAGAAGATTGTATATTCACAGTAAAACAGTAATCCTATGGACCGCTATTCCCAGTGTTAAAACAGGTTTTCAGATAATCCCAGTTGATAAATCCATGATGCTTTAATAAAAAACCCCTATGATATAAACTACAGCATTTTCACATTGTACCATGTATGACATTTGTTTGCATCTCATCTTGTGTATATTAAATGCTGACCTTAAAGTTTCTTGCATCACACTTTCACGCACTGAGGTACTATGGTACCAAGGGAGTCCAATTATATTTGAAGATGCTTCCCCTGATAAAACTGCATTATGAAAAGTGATAGAGAAGTTCTTTCCTTTATTCTTTCCACAAGGGTCAAGCACCTGTAATTCCAGCCTTTCCTTGGATATCACTTCCATGGACTCCAGGCCACTATCCAAATGGTCTTGGTTGCTTTATCCCCAATACCTTCAACATCAGCTCATTTGCCTCCATAGCGGTCCATTCCAGAAAACTAGAGATGAAGACAAAAATCTAAAATCTTCCTTGTGATGGGCAGACATTACAGAGTATAAAGACAGGTGAGCCTTTGTACTCTACAGGATTCTAGATCTACCTGAAAGCATAAGGTGTATACAGTCCTTTACGAGGGCACAAGTTGGATTGCTGTTGTTCATTCATCAAAAGGTTTCCTTTATGCTGGCTACACAATTTGACTGTCAAGAGACCTTTGAAGCACAGCCCTGGATTTTAACAAAGGAAACATTTTCTTCTACTGAGACCTCTCTCAACCCAGTCATTGGTATCAAAATTGTTAATTTAGTTACAGTTAGGGGTCTTGGACTAGTCTTTCTGTCTATATGCTTCCTCTACCAACCTTATTGATTTTAATCTTTTTCTGTTCAAGGAGGCTTGTGCTGGAGTTACTATAAACAAATGGGTTTTGTACACCATTTAGGATGATTATACTACACAGTTCCAGACCACACTTTTTCACATGTAGCCCTGTCCCTCTTCAGGAAACACTCCCACATGAATCTAATGAGAGGTAGGTTCACCTTCAAAGCTTGCTGTGATAGATTCTGTACCTTAGGGAGAAGGGGCTTTATTTTTCTTCATTTTTAGTAACAAAGAAGAAGGGAAGAGGATATCCCATATCTGACCACAGGTGCTGAATTCATAGGCTAAGTACAGACAGTCAAAAAGCCGAGGCAGAATCAATCCAATCTATGCAAGTTTCTCTAAACAGTGTTAGAGAAAGCAGGCAGACGCCTGCAGTGGCCAAGGTGGAAGGCTGGGACACTCCCGCGCACCTCCCAGCATGCCGTGACATTGCCAAGGACAGCCAAGCCCAGCCAAGCAACTGTGTCATCCCTCACTGGCCATAAGGCACATGCCTCCCCACACTGCCCTGTCATCTGTCAGGCAGCTGGCAGCAGCCTGCAGCCAATGGAGGGAGGTATGATTGCCCCCACTCAGCAACATGGGGGGACCCTGGACTTTGTCCAGGTTAGGGGTGCTGGGGTCCACCCCTGGCAGGAGAGAGGTGGGGGGGAGCAGAGGAGTGAGTTGCTAGGGTGAGGCAGTGCCAGCAATGCACCCCATGTAAGGACATTAAGGACATCATGGGTGACATGTGTAAACCCTTTCTACCACTTCTTAATAGAAGAAGAGTTCAAACTTTGATACACAATCTATTGCCTGAGAGTTACCTTACCAGGCAGTAAGGTACAAGAACAAGCTTCCTATGCCAAGAAGCAATTTTGTTAAGGGCATGGCATATTGTAAATCAAGTTTAATTTGACAGCTTTGCATTTCCTGAGAGACATTGACGAGCTGGCAGACTAACTGAGCAGGAAAACCTCCATCTTGCACAAACTGCTTCTAAAAATATTTGTTTTCTGATTCAGGTCTTGCAAGTGGCATATCCCTTGGGTGTGTTTTACTACTATACATCATAAGTATTCTTCCCTTTGTTCTCACATACAGAAACACTTTGGATCAGCAGGAGATGCCTTTCTGATTCAGTGGTTGTCTCACCTGATATGTCTTTCCCCCAATACTTATCCAGGTCCAGAAGAAAGTGTGACAGGACAGGACTCAGGCAATCCAAATAACTCCTTTGCTGTCCTTCCCTTCTCTGCTTCTCAAATTTCCACACCTGTCTAATCACCAGTATATAACACTATGACTTCAAAAGAACATGGTTTCTTAGAATAGGGTTCTTGTTCTACATCCAGACCCTATGGATCTTGTGGTATCTGGATGACCTACAGTGGCTGCTGTGCATACATTTTGAGTATCCTATTGCAATGTAGGTGGCCCTCCACTACAAGAACTTAAACAGCAGAGTCAAAGCATTTTTCCTCTTGGGCTTCTATCCATATTTGCAATGTGACACAATCTTCCATTTCTTTTATTCTGGACCACTTGTTATTGTTAAATTCAACGAATGCAGAGTTAGCGGCAACCTTGACTTGCTGTCTGATCATGCTGACGTGTCTTGCTTTATTCTCATCAAATAGTTAATATATTTCTCATGTTTATCCACCAGTTCAGTAAAATTAACCTTCATGGGACTCAAACTTAGTTCTTTCAGCACTGAGAAAACCACTGCCGGAACTGTCATTTTCTTGTTTGGTCCACTATTTAGCAACAAAGGTGGCATTTTCAGTGGCCACTCCTTCAGCTTGCTGAGCAAACTGAAAACAGTGAAGTCTCTCATAGATTTATTCAGAAAATGATTTCACGTGAAATAACATATACACCTACTGGAGCTTTTTCCAATATCATGATCATTCCAGAGGGCACCTAAAGGTGTGCGAGGAGGGCACCTATGCACATGCGAGGAGGCTGCTCTGATGCACTTTAATTACAGTGCATCAGAGCAGGCTCGATTAATTAGCATACTCCAGCACCCTCCATGTCTTGTGCCTCAGCATCCTCACACTTCAAAATGGTTAAAGCTTCCCTGCCACCATTTTGAAGCACAGGGAACCTGGTTATATGAGACACTGTGGACGCTTTAATTAGAGTGGCTCTCGGAGCCATTTTAGTTAAAGTGTCCCCTGCCCCAACACCCCCAGAGCATGTGTAAAACAGCCCAAAGTGCCTAACTTGTTTGTATGGAGAGCCACCCTTGTTTCATTTAAGTAAAACAAGCTTCAGAAACCCTATAGTACTTGTTTCTTCTAACATCAGATCCAAAGGAAGACCAGTTTTGGCTCTTAGACTACTGAATTAGATTGTGGACTGCCTCAAAACAGCAAAATATCAATAAATTAAATCTCCCAATTCATATTAGAGCTAGTTCAACAAAGGCTCAGGCTGTCTCAGTGATATACCATGGTTGGGGTCTGCGGAGCAGATAGTAGAACCCTGGCTCATGTTGGCCACCATTATATGTAGGGACCTACCAAAATCACAACTGCATAATTTTCACAGAAGCCATGTTTTTGGGCAGGCTCTGTGAAAAAAGTGTGGGCTCCACACTTTTGGTGGGCTTGCTTAAAAAAAAAAACAAAAACCCAACAAAACCCCACAAAACTTACTGGCAAGAAGAAAAGCAGGCAGGAAGCCCTGCAGTCTTGGTGCAAAGGTGAGAATGTGGAGGGGGGGGAAGGCAGGTGGGAAGGGTGTGCAAGGGACAGGGAGGCGGGGGGCACTGTCTCTACAGGGGGCGGAGTTATGCAAATAATGTAATGAGGAGGAAGGAGGCAGTGATTCCCAAAGGTGGGAGGTGTAGAATATGGGTGGGGTTATGCAAATAATGGAATGAAAGGTGAGGAAAGGAGTGGAAGAGTGAGACTAGAGGCAGGGTTATGCAAATGCAGGCTCAGGGCTATAGAGGGGAGGAGGGGTGATGTAAAATGACATATGATTTAATGGTTTCCTGTGGCTTAAACAGGGTAATTAAACTGTGGTTTCAAGTCATGTGCCAATCTGTGGGGAGGGGCGGGACTCCTGGGGCCCCTCAGCCAATCAGAGGCATGGGGTGGGGCCCTGCTGTGTTCAACCTGCAACTATGGTAGCCAGCCCTGTGATCTGCCCTTGAAATGGGCTGGCCAGCCACCTCCTTGAGTTTGTAATACCCTAATTATGTGCTACTGGCAGCATAAACAGCAGGTGCCTATGTGGGAAGAACAGTTGTTATTCAGATGAACTCCTAGCTCTCAGCACCTGTAGGACAAGCCTGCTTGCTAATAACCTGAGTAAGACCCACATATACTGGCACTGAAAGAGGAGGAAATGGTTATCAAGTTCCGTATTGATGGATCCCAAAACGTGCTCTCCTCCTCCACAGCTTGAAGCGAACTCATCAGGACTCTGAGCAGCGAAAGAACTGAAGGAAGGCTGGGGTCACCCTGCCCTTTCTGCCCTCGATTAGGGGTGGCGGAGGGGAGCACAAGAATATGCAGGGCACATGCATGACCCTGAATAGACGATGCTTATGAAAGCTTTACAAATTCCTGTGCCATGAGAGCAGGTGCTACAAGCAGGATCCACA